GCATGCTTATTTTGTGAAAAATGACAAAAGTTTACTTCAAATGGTAAAAAGGAAAACATTAACTGATATACATAAAAACAAATGACAACATCACGGGACAATTAAAAAAATAAAGAGGATAGATGGACAATGGACTGATGCATGATGGGTACTGACTACACCAAGGTCAACTAGGGTTAGTGACCCCTGACCCCTTACCTTTACTGAGAAGCAAATGGTCGTTTGGTTTGCTTGGTTTATCTGGCCTGGTTGGTTTTTCAGCTGATGATGCATAATGAACAAATCCAAAATAAAAATGCAATGAAAAAAAAACTTAAACAGAGGGTTACATTTTGTGAAGTGATCTGAACCAAGCAATTATGCATCTACGTTCTGTAATGGAGATTATAAGCATAAAGTGTTCGGTATGCCACAGGGAATACTTTTTCAACTTCTAACCTTATTTGAAAAATGGGAACATGTATGCTTTCATGTATCGAAACATTCAAGCCGCAAACTGGCAAGTTTTTCATAAATGATTTTCATCTACAAAATCAAAACATTCAAATAGGGAGAAGTCCCCAGTCCATCAAATAAATTTTCCAAAATTTAACATTTTTGTAGAAATCTTGATTTACAAAACAGAAAGATTTGTCCTGAATCACAGACAATTTATACATGTAGTTATATTAAAGCAGATTATAGTTCAGAGACAGTGAAGAAGATTTGACTAGAAAGCAACATTATGCCAATAATAAAAATATCCCTTTACAATAAATCAAACTCGCTGCTCAATTTTCGAAGCCTTGCTATTAAAGAGCTTGCCATTCATTTATTGCAAAGGTGAATGTAAACGCACAAAGAATCAGTCTTTCAAAGATATCCATGTTCCATAGCTGTAATCCTATTCGCGTCACCTGTTAAGTACATGCACTGACAGCCATATAACAGAAGACGTACATTTCTCAGCGGGGTTCAGCGTCTTGACTGTCAACCTTTCAACCTTTCGTATAGTATCATTTTTTACGCCAACATTTTGGTTCAACGTTTTTGCCTGTTTTTATGTATTTTTCTATTAATAATTTATAAGTTAATTTTGAACCAAATGGACATGCATTTCTATTGTATATGGCAATTGGGAGTGGGTAATCATAGTCCTTGATAATTATTCAATATAACTAGATGTTTTGAATAAATTATCCTTTCTCAATGACAAATATGCATAGTTACATGTATATTGAATAATTACCAAAAACTATGATTACCGACCACCATTTACTATATATTTATTGGTCCTAGTAGTTTTCCCTGATTTAAAAATACAATCCTACTGGCTGCCTAGAACAACACTTAAAAATATGAAATAGTTGACAAAAACAAAACAAAACAAAACAAAAGTTGACTTTAGGCCAGGAAAAAAAAATTCTCTGTTTCTAGTTTCATGGAAATTTTAAAATGAGGCGGCGAGGCGATTTTTTTCTTTCTTTTTTTGAATACTGAGCTAAAATGGGGGAAATTTGAGACAAGTGAGAGTACAAGCCATTTTGGAATGCTTTAAAAGGAAAAAAAACGTCAGATATTTTTTTTCTCAGTCTTAGC